TAGATTGATTTAAGTACTTATTATACCAACACCTTAAGACTTAGTTTTAAAGTAATCCCGAGTAGTTTATAAAAGCAGTCAGCACCGCCTTGAACGACAAACTACGTGGAGAATCGATGAATATAAGTGTTTGATCAAGATTTTTAAAGAGAAATTTTTATTAGAAGATGCACTTATTAAGTTAGATGATCCTTACCAGATCATTTAATTCAACGGTTGCAGAAACTATAAAATATTTATGCAAACAACCATTATGAATTGGTTCAGTGGTCTCTGGTGTTGAACTTGGTAGGGCGGACGATGGTCCGATCCCCCACAATTTGTAATTGGATAAAGGAGTACCAAATATAACTACCAGAACTCCAAGCTAGATTATAAAGATCAAAGTCACTAACCGGTTACTCCACTATGTGCGCGTAAGGTAAAGGGCTTAATGTGATTGCACCAGAATGAAAACGGGTGAAACGAAACGAAAGTATTAGGTCGAGTTATAATTCATGACTTAATTTGGTCTGCATAAATGAGGGTATCTAGTGTCATTACGGTAATTTTGGTGTCGAAGTCTGAACTTGAGTTATCCAAACAAAAGAATTGACCTGCAACCAAATACGAATTGAATTGTGTTCTATATCTACGTTTGACTTATGCTTAAGTAATTTTTCATTTTTAATTTTTGCTTGAGGACAAGCAAAGGTTTAAGTATAGGGGTGTTGATAACACGAATTTATATAACATATTTGGCTTAATTTTCATAGATAATATTAGTATTTTTATTTATTTATTTTATTTTTGTATTACGTTGGTATTTCTTTTGTTTCAGGTATTTGTATTAAATAAAAGATCAATTGAGCAAAAGAAATAAATTGAGGGAAAATCAGATGAAAAAGCCAAAGAAATGAAGCAAAGGGGTGATATAGCAAAAAGGAGGAGTTAAGAAGAAAGAAATAATTATACAAAGAAAAAGACTAAGCCCAGAAGAGCAAAAGCCCAGCAGAAGTTCAGTCCATAAGGTGTTACGACCGTAACAGCCTTGTGACGACCGTAACACGCTAATAGCCTTGTGACGACCGTAACAGACCTGTGACGACCGTAACGCGCTATATTTCAACTTCCTCACGTCATGGAGACGTGTCCCATGTTCTCCCATGATTCTGGTAGTTATTCCCATGTTCTCCCATGATTCTGGTAGTTATTCCCATGTTCTCCTATGATTCTGGTAGTTATTCCCATGATCTCCACTAGCCTTCGTACAACATGGAAACGGGAAGTTACAAATGAAGCCTATAAATACAAGTTCAACCTTCAGAGCAAGGGTCGAAGAATTTTCTACAGACCAAATTTCTATTTTTCTGCATTATTTCTAATTCCTTGTTTTTGAGCTTTTTCTATATTACTGTAATTTTCATTTCAAGTTTTAGTTTTAGTTTTAAGTGTTAATTCTTCCTTCAAGAATTAACACGAATTATTTACTGCAATCAAGCTCAAGGATTATTGTAATACTTCAAGATTACCATAGCAACTTTGATTCCAGGTTTTTATTGCAATTAATATTTATTCAGTTTTTATATTATGTCAATTGTTGTTATGAATTATATTTTGAATTGTATTGCTTTCAAGTTAATTATGTCCGGCTAAATTATTAATACCGGTATGTGACCCGTAAGAACTAAAGAAATTTAGTGATACCTTGGTCAAAAATATCTATAAAACAATTTCTGGTTTCCAATTTCCAAGATTAATTTAATTAACCTTGTCACGAGAGTGAGAGGTTAATTAACACGATTTTGCCACGAGAGTGGGAAATTAATTAAGACAAGAACCTGCATGCGAGAGCTTGGGGTTCAACCCAGATAGTGGTAACGAAACATTGATTTTTAAATACACGAGAGTGTTTTAATAAATTAATTAGATTCAAATTGTTTTCAAAAAGTGTTATTAAATTTAAAGTGCATCCACTAGGTTTAGTAGCATGACTTATTTCATAAACACGAGAGTGTATGTCTCAGGTTTTTAAACAATTAGCTTTTACCGAAATACTTTATAGGCCAAGCGATTCACCGAATTCCCTAAGTCCGATTATCACATACCGGTATAATTAGTACTATTATTTTTAATTAAACTGTTTCCCCCAAAAATCGAATATTCATCGCTTAGTTAGACAAACTGTAGCATTAGATCGTATGCGATTGATCCTCAGTCTCTGTGGGTTCGATAATCTTTTAAAACTAGAACGACTGAACTGTATACTTGCAGTTAGTATCCCGATAGACTTATAAAGTCCCGATCAATTGCGTACTATAATTTAAAGTTAATGTTCATTCATCAATGTACGTTACATACTTTGACTTAGTTTAAACGTTTAATCATCAATGTACATTACATGTTTGAAATTAGTGTAAATGTTCATATAGCAAAGTACGTTACATACTTTAACTTAGTTTAAATGTCCATTTATCATGGTACATTACATACTTTAACTTAATGTAAAGATATATTTAACAAGGTACATTACATACTTTGACTAGGTATAAAGGTCCATATATCAATGTACATTACATACTTTGACTTAGTGTAAAGGTTCTTTCATCAAGGTACATTACATACTTTTAATAAGTATAAAGGACCATTCATTATGGTACATTGCATATTTTGACTAAGTACTTTTAAAATGTATTAGTGTAATAGTTATTTCATCAATTTACATTACATACTTTAAATTAGCGTAAAGGTCCATTTATCACGGTACATTACATGCTTTGAATTAGTGTAAATGTCCATTTATCATGGTAAATTACATTGCATACTATAATTTAAAGTTAATGTTCATTCATCAATGTACGTTACATACTTTGAATTAGTTTAAACGTTTAATCATCAATGTACATTACATGTTTGAAATTAGTGTAAATGTTCATATATCAAAGTACGTTACATACTTTAACTTAGTGTAAATGTCCATTTATCATGGTACATTACATACTTTGACTTAATGTAAAGATCCATTCAACAAGGTACATTACATACTTTGACTTGGTATAAAGGTGCATATATCAATGTACATTACATACTTTGATTTAGTGTAAAGGTTCTTTCATCAAGGTACATTACATACTTTTAATAAGTATAAAGGTCCATTCATTATGGTACGTTACATATTTTAACTAAGTACTTTTAATATGTATTAGTGTAATAGTTATTTCATCAATTTACAATACATACTTTAAATTAGTGTAAAGGTCAATTTATCACGGTACATTACATACTTTAAATTAGTGTAAAGGTCCATTTATCACGGTACATTACATTGCCTACTATAATTTAAAGTTAATGTTCATTCATCAATTTACATTACATACTTTGACTTATTTTAAACATTCATTCATCAATGTACATTACATGCTTGGAATTAGTGTAAATGTTCATTCATCAAAGTACGTTACATACTTTAACTTTGTGTAAATGTCCATTTATCATGGTACATTACATACTTTGACTTAATGTAAAGATCCATTCAACAAGGTACATTACATACTTTGACTTGGTATAAAAGTCCATATATCAATGTACATTGCATACTTTGATTTAGTGTAAAGGTTCTTTCAATAAGGTACATTACATACTTTTAATAAGTGTAAATGTCCATTCATTATGGTATATTACTTATTTTGACTAAGTACTTTTAATATGTATTAGTGTAATAGTTATTTCATCAATTTACATTACATACTTTAAATTAGTGTATAGGTTCTTTTATCACGGTACATTATATATTTTATATTATTGTAAAGGTCCATTTATCACGGTATATTACATTGCATGCTATAATTTAAAGTTAATGTTCATTCATCAATTTATATTACATACTTTGACTTAGTTTAAACGTTCATTCATTAATGTACATTACATGCTTGAAATTAGTGTAAATGTTCATTCATCAAAGTACGTTACATACTTGAACTTAGTGTAAATGTCCATTTGTCATGGTACATTACATACTTAGACTTAATGTAAAGATCCATTCAACAAGGTACATTACATACTTTGACTTGGTATGAAGGTCCATATATCAATGTACATTACATACTTTGATTTAGTGTAAAGGTTCTTTCATCAAGGTACATTACATACTTTTAATAAGTATAAAGGTCCATTCATTATGGTACGGTTACATATTTTAACTAAGTACTTTTAATATGTATTAGTGTAATAGTTATTTTATAAATTTATAATACATACTTTAAATTAGTGTAAATGTCAATTTATCACGGTACATTACATTCTTTAAATTAGTGTAAAGGTTCATTTATCACGGTAAATTACATTGCCTACTATAAATTAAAGTTAATGTTCATTCATCAATTTACATTACATACTTTGATTTAGTTTAAACATTCATTCATCAATGTACATTAAATGCTTGGAATTAGTGTAAATGTTCATTCATCAAAGTACGTTACATACTTTAACTTAGTGTAAATGTCCATTTATCATGGTACATTACATACTTTGATTTAATGTTCTCCATCTGATTCCCTTTATAATAGTTTGGTTGAGAAATATTTCTCACCCTACACAACTTAAACCTACACTTCTTAAGTTGGACAATTTGACCAAAATATCATTTTAATTATAAAATTTGTTTGTTTTTATTTATATGCGGAATTTGTTTGTATTGTAACAATACTTATTTTGGAATTGATACATATTATGCGTCTTTACCGAATTTTTAAAACACCAATACCTAATTATTTTTTCAAATTTTTTTTTTTTATAATTTTATTTGCGGAAGTTGCTACGGAGTATAACAAAATTTCTGCAAGATATATGTTACCAGCCAATTTTTCTGTCGATTTTTGAATTGAAACATTTGTTTGCCAATTTTAAAAAGAGTGGTATCTAACTTTCAGATTTTTAAAGCGTTATTGGATTTTTATAAAAATAATCAATTTTAAGCATTTTTTTTAAAGTGGAATTATATATATGTTCGGTTTTGGTTATGTTTACACATGTTGCATTTTGTATTGAAAAACTGGTGAAATGCAACAGGAAGCTGGAGCATTGTGGCATCTTGTACTAAGAAACACATATACATGACTTTTTTTAAATACAGGGAGGACACCGGAGGGTGATGAGTTCTCAATAAATGTGTTTGCGGATGTGATTACCTGCACAACATGTTTGCATACCCCGAGGAAGAGAACTTTTAGGGATTTTGCAAATAAAGATGCGATTGGAAGGAGCTGATATCTCGTAATATATTGGTTCTTGATTCTATTACTTATTGCACAATGAACGAAAATGCTAAACATCATCATACCAATCTAAAAGTGTGCTTGTTTGAGCAAAAAGCAAAACTAACACGTGAGACTGGCTGCTACTCTTTTTTGCTTTGGCGTCAAAAGCTACATTGGAAAATAAAAACAAGCACAATACTATTGCACCGACCGTAATGTTAGAAACTTACAATGATCAAACAGTCGGAGGGGACATAACTATCTTCCCTTTTGCCTCAAAATAAACTATGCCTTTCCTTTACCAGCCTGAAGAGTCTGCATCTTTTGCTGCAATTTCAGTATCTGCAATAGGACATAACAAATTGATGCAAACAGTTACTATATGGCACTTACCAAGGCATGCAATTTCAGATTATGTTAGAGGAACTTAACATGAAACAGAGGGAATAGAAACATGACATGTGATATGTTCTCTTACTAACCAATGATCTAATCAAGCAATATACAGACGAGGCCATTCAAGGGAAGGGGTAGGAATTAAGACTACCCTGGATAAGACACAGGACCCACTATATGTTGTAACGTTAGAGGCCAATCTAGTAGCTAGGATCTACCAAATGTTATTCAGTAATTATATTACATGAGAAATGATTTCCAAAGCTTAAGAAGTAAGAAAAAGTTACGAACCGTTTCTTTCTTGCTATTCTGCTTCTCTTCCAAATCTTGAACAGTGGAATCAAGACGCTTCCTAACACAAAGACCATGTGAGCTTATGTGTGATGATAATAATAACAATAGTAACGTTAAAGATGCCAAAACCAACCAAACCATAACAAAATCTAAAAAAATGCTATAAATCATGAAGCAAGCCAGAAACAACAAAACAGTAACGCATTGAGGGTAGATGTTCGCTAGGGTGGTGTGCCTGGCCATATCATATCACAATAATTTGATAAGTTTAACGTTAGTGTCAATTGCCTAAGCAACCCTCAATTTTTAGCTGGGCTTGAGATTGATAGTGTAAAGATTTGCAACAAAGCAAAAATGGCCAGTTAAACAACTTAACCTATTTCATGGTTAGATATTTTAAGCATAGCCTACTAAATGGTATTTTTATGTATAATTTGTTTATTGTATCCCTTAACTTAAATATTCAAATACACCCTGACATTTTATTAGTAAACAAGATTTAAAATGCAATACGAATGTAATAACATGTGAAAGTTTTAGAGAAACAAAGATCAAGAGGTGTCAGGACAGAAACTTCATGTCGAAGCAGATTAGTTATGCGGATGCACTGGGGGGAAACGGGTGCTCACATTCAAGACCTTATGAGAGAAATACAATTAAACAAAATGAAATTCTACAACAAGGTGAATTGCTAATCAAACAATATGTATTATTGTGAAACAACAACACTTGAAATACAAAAAAGGAAAGTGATAGGAACTCAATCAGAAAGAAGAGAAAGAAAACACAAGAAATAATCATGTATAGAACTGAAAGAAAGAATTGCCTATCATTTTCGAGAGCCTTAGACTCTTCACACCACAAAATGTCTAATCCCTTGTCCTTACAGTTTTCTACCCCTTCCGTGGTTCACTCCTTTCCTTAGCTTTCCTAACTAACTAATCAAACCTACTTATCTATTACAAGGACCTGTAAACTTATCCAAAAGGTTTAGTCCTATACTCCTCTCCCATTTCTAATTTTGCCAAACATAGACCTTCCTAACAAGGAGTTGCTGCCTATCAATACTCCTCCCACTCCCTCAAAAATCAAAGATCCACCTTGAACGTGAAAATAAGGAAATATTTCGTGAACATCTGCTTCCAATTCCCAAGCTATCTTCACATTGGGTAATGTCGGGATTTCCAATGTAAGGAGCGATCAAAATGACCTGCTAACACAGAACCGGCCCAAGCCCAATAAGTGACATGTTTGCGTAAGAGGAAACAGTACCATATCAAAGCATTTTCCTTGCTTTTATTTGTTATGTTATTTTTGGTTTTCCATCAACAGGTCCAACCTGCCAGATTTGCAAGAAGGAAGATGTCTCTTTCTTCATTGAAGGATCAACATATTGAGAAATTTGATGCCACCAAATAAAATGGAGGGGATGTTCGGAGAAAAAAATGGACGCCATCAGGTTGACCCTCACCGTAATACTCCCTACGTCCCACAATACAATGTCATTCAAGCAATAACAAAAAAGGTTGTCCCAACCAATGTCATTTTCTCTATTATACCCATTACTATTTATTACTTCTATTTCCATTTCTTTTAATTTCTCTTTCCCATATACCATTAAGGAAGAATAATTTTGTAAAGTAGCACATAGTTTCTCTTTCCCATACAAAAGTAACTGCCTTACTTAATTTGTGTGCAATTGCTAATATGACATATATTTTGGGACAGAGGGAGTACAATTGAAGCAGTGACGAATCACAAAATACTTGATAGTAGAAAGGAAAGAGGAGACATTGATCACAAATCGCCATGCTCATAAACACGGAGGAATACAACCCTGACAAGTCAATCACAAAACCCATGGCGAGCAGATTATTGACAAGAAACAAGTTAGGGAATTCAAGTTAATTTGGCGCAGTTATGTATTGAAGGGCCAACCATTCTTTTTTTCCTCCAAATATGTGCTTGATGAAGAAGCTAAACTGACTTGAGAGAAACTCAAAGGTGAAATACTTGAGTATTTGAGAAGCTAGCATATCATCAATAAGTGGGTAGCATGAAGGAGTGTATCCAAGAGTTTGAGAGGCTGACTTCCCAGGTGAGATGCTTGCTGGATGACTGGTACTATGGGAAATTTATCCAGACTGAAGGAGGGGAATTTAGGAGCAAGTTCAAAGCATGGAAATGTTGGGATCTCGGTCATGCTATTGGCTGATGAATGCAACAAAAGCAGTAGCAACGAGCGCGGATGGCGGACTTCTAAGGTCCCCCATATGGTGGTGTTAGCAAAAGCAGTAGCAATTTTATTGAGGGCACTGCCATCCTTCACAAATGTGGCCATGGCATTGAGCCACAAAAAAGACCACCAATATCCGCCATGGCCGATATTTAACTACTTTGAATGGGTTGACAAATGCTGGAATGGGTTGACAAATGCTGGGGCCAAAAACAGTGTTGAGTCGAGTCCCAATTATATGCCTTGGGACCCATTGTTATTATCAAAAGTTCCATCATTTGTTCCAGCCATGTGAAACGTGCATCCATTCCTACTTGATTTTGGCTCCAACTTCCAATTGTCCTCTTGGTGCAACTCTACTCGGGCCTCCAATCTAGTCAAAACCATGTAAGTTTCCAGTGAATTCAAAACCCAGTGCACTTGGATGGAGCTAGGATACCAGTTTGATACCAAGTGTATCAGAAAGAGGAGGGTAAAAGAAAGACAAGAATTTTGTAGTGGACTCTGAGAGAGAACTAACTAAAGTATTCAAGACACTTGAACTTTCCTCTTCCAAATATGTCTAATCAGACATTTGTAGCTCTCTATTCCTTCCTTATATTCCCTTCCTCACATTTCAAAACTAACTAATCAAAGTTAACTATTTATTCCAAGGACCTATATCTTTATTTACAGATCACGAAGGTTTACTCGTCTGCTCCTCTCCTATTTCACTTGACACACCTTCCTAATAGGGAGTTTCTTCATATAAGAAAACTGAAAGTGAGTCGTAGCCCAACAGTAAGGTTTCTTCCCTAAGGCTTACTGTTGGGCAAAATCTAATCATAGTATGTGTAAGCTTTTAAAATAAAATAGTTCCAGTGTTTCTCATTTTCATCTTTTTTATTTACAATAGCAACATAAAGACTTGAACCTTGACCTCCTACAAACTATCCAAATTCCTCAGTACTAAATTTTTAGTGCATTAACATTTCCTGTCATTACATCAATTACTTAAATGCAAACCACATAGTTTTAAACAAAATATTCCTGTAATTAAGGAAATAACTCTTTTCCCATATAAAAAAAATCAAGACTATGGTAATCATAGAAATTATAAACAATTATTTAAATAAATAACCAGTTCATCATTTACAGGATGCAACAAAAAAATAATGTGATAAAAACTCTTCAGGAGACAAAGATAGTAAAATTTGTAGTTTGTAAGTTAAAAAGTTGTGATGTAGCCCTTTAGTCTATGAATAAATTACTTATTCTTCATCTTGGAACAATATCTCTCTTTCCCAGACTAAACAACAACAACAACCAAGCCTTATCCCACTAAGTGTGGTCGGCTACATGGATCAACTTTTGCCGTAATGTTCTATTTAGGACCATGTTTCTACCAAATCGTTAATCTCAAAATCTTTCTTAATAACTTCTCATATAATTTTTCTAAGTTTTTCTCTACCTCTAGTTGTTTGACTCCTCTCCATATGATTTACTCTACTTTCCAAGACCAAAAAACAAAAAATATATACATAGCAAGATATCACAAAACAATACTTCCACTATGAAAGTATATATAGTCACCGATAATATGAACAATATTTTGAAGTGATTATTTAAGCTAGTTAATATACTGCCCCTAATAATATAAAAAGATTTTAACTCTATTATAAAACACATCATGTATAGGGAAAATGAATAAAATCATATGCTAAAGTAAGGAAACTAGCAACATGAAGAAAAAAAAAAGTAGAAAAGAAGGTTTACAGTTCAGCAGAGATGTATTCAATTCTCTTGCGGACATTAGCATTGGCCTCAGCCAAATCTTGCTTAACAAGAACAGGGCCAATCAACTTGTAAACATTTGCATCTTCTTTCAATAAATCCAGCTCCTATAGAAACAAAATTAAAAGAATAACAACATTAAACAAAAAAACAATCAGTGAAACACAGAATATGTGCAAACAAAACATCCCTGAGTTTGTCTAGTAGTTTTAGTGATTGAACTAGTTTACCACAAGACACATTCCAGAATATTCTTCTAAGTTTGACAAGAAAAAAACCCTGATAAGTGAATCATTTGCAAATAGGTAAAAGGAGATATTTTTGCCGCAAAATACATAAAAGGGTACCTTAAGGACGAGTTCATTTTCACCAAGCTGGATAGTGTACTTCTTTCTCACTTGGTGATTCTTGGCAATATCTGCAACAACAAAAAAAGTAGTCGATTTTGAATGAATTAGGAGAAAAAAGTGTAAAGAAATGAAATAGAAAAGTAAGGGGGTAAAACTTGCCCTTTTGAAGTTTGCTGAGATCGTTGGCTTTGTTCTCCAATTCGCGTTGAAGATCTCTAATGTTGGAAGAACTCATGCTGTAAACTGCGAAATCCCTCCTTCGCTTTCACAAGAAACTATTTTCTGAATTTTTTGGGAATGTTGCTTTTGGGTTTATGTAATGTCTAAACCCATCAATGTTTTGTTTTTCTAATGGACTAAGAGCTCCTGAAAGTTAGTTTTTGCACCCGTGTTTTTTCTCGTGCACCGACACTTTTCATTATTTTTCTCCTCAACATATATAATTTATGTATTTAGATTACATATTTAAATAAATGATAGATTACAATTAAGACTAAAATAAATCTAGGTTGCAAAAGAAAGAAATCATTAAACAAAATTTTGATCTTTCATAAAAGTTTATGCAGCAGCAACAATACAACTTAAATAGTTTGGGTTTTCTAAACATAAAATGGGTTTGGACCACTTTTAAAAAGTACAAAACATTGGGATAATAAATTAGAGATGATTGTTATTGCACCCCTTAATAAAATTAATTACAGCCCTTAAGCTATCTTGGTTTTTTGATCTTTATTTTGAGTTTAAAGTTGAGTATCTTAGTAAGAGAATTCTTTCCCTATCTCTATGATATTTTAGAATTTTCTAACGAAAAAATCTAATATATCTCTCACTAAATTTCAGATTGAAATAAGTTAATATTTTATATTTGAGATTTTTCATATGTATCTCATTTATTTTTATGAAATATATATAGATAGTAAGAATGAAATTTTTCAATATAAATTTTTGGAAAAACAAAAAACAAGTTTGTATAAAGTTTCGATATTTCATGTATCATATCAGAAATTTTAAAAATTATGATAATACAAACAAATTTTTTTCAAAAAAGAGCTACCAAGTTTTTCAAAATTTTCAATAAATCACAAATTTTTTAAAATTTTATAATTTTAAATAAAGGTATAATGATAAAAACATGGAAACATACAGGCTACCAGATAGTTGGGTGGCAATGGCCGCTAGCATTAAATGTTAGGAAAATGATAATTTTGATGGTTTGTGATAGGGGTGGACAGGATTTCACGAAACCGTCTGGATTGCAGTACCCGCATGTAAGTTATCGGGTCTCAAATGGGGTTTAATTTCAGTTTTAAATGGCTCATTACGGCTCGGGTCGGTTGGGAAAGTCCAACCCAAATAAAATTGAATCCGACCGCTTGATTGCTTTTCCGTGTATTATTTCAAATATATTTATGTTTTTAGTGGACTGGGTTTAATTTAAAGCCCAATGAAAATGTTGCATATTTAAGCTAACATATATCTTCACAGGTGAAACCCTAGCCTTTTCAGTTCAAGATTGGTCTCTCTTTCTATCGTTTCAATTCCATATCTGTAGTTTCAATTGGCCTCTCTCATTTTCTTCCTATTTTCATCTCTCTGCAACTTAGACTTTCTTTCTTCATGTATTTGTTTTTTCTTCCAAACCCATCAAAGGTAACCACTTTCCTTTCATTTTTAGTCTTCTGATTTGTTTTGTTATATATGTTTATTTTCTTGAGCACTCTTTGAATCTGGTTTGATTTCTGAACTCTTTGAAAAATTGAAACTTAAGTGACTATTATTTTATTTTTATACTATTTTTAATTTTAGTACTCATTGGTAACTTCTCTTTCAGTGTCATTTCGTTGATAAACCATTTTTTGTAAACTAATTAAAACGATGAAACTTAAGTGACTATTGATATTGTTCTGGTCTTTTATATTTTAGAAAAATGTTTTGATAATTAATTTTTTATGTTTAGGTACCATTTATTCATTGATCTTATTACAATTTTATGCATTTTTTATATTATGTTTACATAATAAATTTGGGTAAATTTTTCTATGGTGTTTGTTTTTGTTTTTAGTGTTTCTACAATTATTTATCTATTATTGCAATTTTTAGGTTGGAAAGGATAGAAGTTTGCATGTGGAGTGCTGAAGATTATGCAATTCTTGGATCTGGATCTATTTTTGATTTATCATTTTCTATCTTGGATATGGGTGAATGTAAACTAAGAATTATTAAAGAATTTTTAAGCGTTCTATTTGTTGTTGTTTTGTTCTATTTTATTTTTGCTGTAGGATTAATTTAGTTACAATTATAAGTTTGTAATTTTTTTTAAAAAAATATGTTTTGTTTTACCTATAATAATGGGCTAAAATTTTGGTTGGCCCAGCAAATCTCAAACCGATTGAATCCTCAACCCGCAAAACCCTTTAAACCGAAACTGATAAAAATCGAAAATTATATGGTCGGAATTGGATCTAGCATGTGGATCCGTGGTTTGGGCTGGATCCTAATTTTGAGTCCGAATCCAAATCAAACTCACTAGTTTGTGAGGGGGAAAGACACGTAGTTTTTTTATTTCGGAGGAGTTTGAATTTGTTTGGGGGGAACTAAAATAGAATCTAAAAGTGGAGAGTGGTTGGACTTTGTGGTACAAAATCTGATGGAGGAGAGTGGTTGGACTTTGTGGTACAAAATCTGATGGAGGAGAGTGGTTGAATAACTTTAACAACGGACTTGTGATACTGAGATGCATTAAAGGTGGAAAAAGGTGACGGAGATAGGTGGCTTTGGAAAAAGTTGTTGAATAAAATATAGTGATGTCGAATTGTTATTGGTTCGTGTGGAAGGGAAGTTGGTGCATGACAACTAGACGTGGGGAATATGTCAAGTGTGTGTGGGATGCATGAAGTGGAGAGGGGAGGAGGGGTTATGGACTTGGACGTGTAGTCTCACAAGATAAGCCCTCGATAGATCTGTTACGATCCAACGGTTCATAATTATTTTTTATGATATCTGGTGGTTGCTCACGCACTGTAGTGGAAATGTGAATGAAATTAATTTATGTGGAAAGTCTTTTAAGTAAACCACTTTAAGAAATTAATTTCTGGTGGTTGCTCGCGCATTGTTATTTTTATAAAGCTCAGTCAATTAAACCATTTTATTTGTTTCTCGAGTCATCTATTTTGGACCATTTGTCATGATAATTTAGATTTTTAGGTCATGCATTGCTTTCTTGCATTATAAGTTTCACTTTGAAAAATAAATAATGATGTGTACATTAGAGAAAACCACTTTTTCTATCCATCATTTTCATCCTTTTACTTTTGATTGAAATAAGTTTAGGATCTTAAGCTTATGTCATTTTTTTCATGAGTAATTTGATTTCAATTTTAGTGGCATCATATTTAAAAGCAAAACAGGTACATTACCATTATCATCATTGTTGAAATTGTTACAAATTTCTAAAATATTTTAAATATAATATGTATGGTAATGGTATTCACCCTAGAAACTATAGTGTATATAAGTATGGTAGAATAATCTAGAATTATAAGTGTATGTAAAAGATAGAAGAACTTAGAACTATCATGATACTAACATATCATGAAAATTCTAGAAAAATCTAAAGTAATGTAGAAACATTCACCACCATTGGGAGGTTGGTGACTTGAGCCTATAAATAGGCATTTGGTATCTTGTAATGTATCATCCAAGAAATCAATGACATAGCCTTCTTTCTAAACAACTCTCTAAAACTATCCTCTATCAACTACACCACTACTAACAGTGACATCAGAGCTACGTTCGGTCATACATGGGGCGTAGTTAAATAAATACATATCATTTCAAATTTCTCCCAACTACTTCAAAAATTTCCCTTGTACTATTAAATCACTCCAATATTTGTCTAAGACGTGGATAACACCACTCAATCATCAACTATTTTTGTCCCTATTTTCAATGGTGAAAATTTTGATTTCTTGCGTGTTAAAATGGAAACATTTTTTTCTTCTCAAGATTTATGGGACATAGTAGAAGAAGGATTCATTGTTCTCGCAGATACTTCAGCTCTTAATGCAGCTCAAGAAAAAGAGTTGAAGAAAAATAAACAGAAAAATTCAAAGACATTGTTCACCTTGCAACAAGCGATAACTGATGTAATTTTCCCAAGGATTATGGGAGCTAAGACTGCCAAAGAAGCGTGGAACACATTGCATGAGGAGTTTCAAGGAAGCGCTAAGGCACGTGCTGTCAAACTTCAATCTCTAAGAAGAGATTTTGAACTATTAAAGATGAAGGAGTCTGAGACAGTTAAAGATTACTATTCTAAAGTTAAAGAAATAATTAATCAAATGAGAGCTTTTGGGGAAGACATTCTTGACAAGAAAATTGTTGAGAAAATTCTAATTACTATGCCCCTAAAGTTTGACCCAATCGTGACAACAATTGAAGAAACCAAAGATCTGTCCACTCTATCAGTGTCAGAACTTGTGGGATCTCTTGAAGCATATGAGCAAAGACTGTATAGGGCATAAAGAAGATATACTTGAAAATGTCTTCCAATCAAAGCTCAAATTTCATCCCTAAAACAAAGAAAATGGAGGAAAGAAAAATTATGGAGAAAGTTCAAGAAGAAGAGAAGGTTCTAGGAATTTCCTTAAGAATAAAACAGATAAAAATCCTCTATGCATTATATGCAAAAGACTGGGCCACATAGAGAAAAATTGTTGGTTCTGTAATATGCCACAATGCAACCATTGCAAGAAGTTTAGGTACGTAGAGAAAAATTGTCGCAACAAAAATAGGCATCAAGCTAATATCCCAAAGGAGAATGATCAAGAACAATGTATGTTCTATGCCACTCAAGACTCAGTCAAAGAAAAAGGAGGAAGTTGGTACTTGGATAGTGGATGTAGTAATCACGTGGCCAAGGATGAGACTATTTTCAAAAGCATTGACGAGTCTGTCAAAGTCAAAGTTCGACTGGGAAATGGCAGTGTGGTTGAATCAAAAGGAATAGGCATTGTCATGGTAGAGACAGATAAATTTACGCAACTCATCCATGATGTCTTACTAGTTCCCAACCTTAAAAAAAATCTTCTAAGCATTGGCCAAATGATGGAGAAAGGCTACACATTTCACTTTGAAGGAGGGGTATGCAAAATCTTAGAGAACAAAAATAAAAGGGCTGAGATAATCCAAGTGAAGATGAATAAGAGCAATAGAAGCTTCCCGCTAAATTTAAAACATACAAATAACATTGCCATGAAGGTACAAGTTGATGATTCATGGCTCTGGCATCGAAGATTTGGCCACTTCAACACACATGCCTTAAAGTTGTTACATGAGAAGAAAATGATGAGAGATTTTCCAAGCATAAAGGAGAACAATGATGTGTGTGAAGGATGTCTCCTTGGTAAGAAACACTGATTTTCGTTCTCAACAAGCAGAGCATGGAGAGCAAAAGATCTGTTGGAGCTAATTCATACTAATGTCTGTGGACCGATGAGGACGCCATCACACGAGAACAACAGGTACTACATACTCTTCATTGATGACTTCTCTAAAATGACATGGGTCTATTTCCTAAAAGAAAAATCATAAGTCTTTGGAGTATTCAAAAAGTTCAAGGCCCTTGTTGAAAATCAAAGTGGAAAACGGATAAAAGTACTAAGAAGTGATCGCGGCAAAGAATACACCTCCCGCGAGTTTGACAGGTTTTGTGAGGATGAAGGCATGGAGCGACAACTTACAATCGCATATTCTCCTCAATAAAATGGTGTATATGAGAGAAAGAATCGCACATTTATGGAGATGGATAGATCGATGCTCAAGGAGAAGGGACTTCCTAATATATTATGGGCTGAAGCAGTCCACACTGCTGTTTACATACTTAACAGATGTCCAACTAAGTCAGTACAAGATAAGACTCCAATTGAAGCTTGGAATGGGAAGAAGCCATCAGCAAAGCACCTAAGGATCTTTGGATCTGTATGCTACATTCATATTCCTGATGGGGACTTTATGAGTCTGTCGGGATACTAACTGCAAGTATACAGTTCAGTCGTTCTAGTTTTAAATGATTATCGAACCCACAGAGACTGAGGATCAATCGCATACGATCTAATGCTATAGTTTATTTAACTAAGCGATGAATATTCGATTTTAGGGGGGAAACAGTTTAATTAAAAATAATAGTAATAGTTATACCGGTATGTGATAGTCGGACTTCGGAAATTCGGTGAATCGCTTGGCCTATAAAGTATTTCGGTAAAAACTAATTATTTAAAAACCCGAGACATACACTCTCGTGTTCATGAAATAAGTTATGCTACTAAACCTAGTGGATGCACTTTAAATTTAATAACACTTTTTGAAAACAATTTGAGTTTAATTAATTTATTAAAACACTCTCGTGTATTTAAAAATTAATGTTTCGTTACCACTATCTGGGTTGAACCCCAGCTCCCGCATGCAGGTTCTTGCCTTAATTAATTTCCCACTCTCGTGGCAAAATCGTGTTAATTAACCTCTCACTCTCGTGACAAGGGTAGTTAAATTAATCATGGAAATTGAAAACCAGAAATTGTTTTATAAATAAATATTTTTGGCCAAGGTATCACTGAATTCTTTCGGTTCTTAAGAGTCACATATCGGTACGAATAATTTAGCCGGACATAATAGATTTAACAACAATGCAATTCAAAATATAATTCATAAAAATAATTGGGATAATACAAAAATGAATAAATATTAATTGCAATAAAAACCTGGAATTAACGTTGCTATGGTAATCTTGAAATGTTACAATATCCCTTGCGGCTTGATTGAAGTAAATAAATTGTGTCAAGACTTGAATGAAGAATTAACACCTAAAAATAAAGCTTAAAATAATGCTGGAAGTAGGAATTACAGTACGTAGAAAATGCTCTAAAACAAGGAAATAAAAATAATTGCAAAAGTAAATTTTGTTCTGGGAGAATTCCTTCGACCCCCTTCCCTTTGCACTACCACACATATATATAAGAGAGAATATAGCAGTTGAAAATGTCTTGAGAAAAGGCTTGAGTGGAGGAAATATAGGGAGCATGGTTACTGAGTGGAGGAAAAATAGGAGAACAAGTCTGCCCTCACGTTGCCCGCGTCTCCACCAATTCACAACGTTCATCTTTACGCGTGTGACGGTCGTCACAGGTGGGTGACGGTCGTAATGCGCTTAAATAGCACATTACGATCGTCAGTGATGTGTGAGGAGCGTTGCTTCAAGTTGGGGGTCGTTACACCCGTCACGAGGGTGTGACTGTCGTCACTGCTCCAAAATCTCCAAACTTTGCAGATTTAGTTCTTTTTCTCTTTGTTTGTTGTCTAGCCTCCTTCATGTAGTCCTTTTTCATTGGTTTGAGTTGGCAAATGTTATACCTGTGAAAAGACAAATAAACTCGGAATAATCGGGAGTTAGACGACTTAATGTATTATAAAATCGGTAAAAAGCGTAGTAATTATATGATATGATTTCTCGTTATCAAATTCCCCCATACTTTTAAACCTTTGCTTGTCCTCAAACAAATAGTCATTCGAAAGGTCGGACAAGTTTTGTCAAGCGCATACGCATGACATACCTTGGATTTTTAAAGTAATTTCGGGAAATCCTCGTCGGTTCGGCCAATACTTGAGTGAAACACTAAAGATACGCTAATGACACAAGCAATAAGCTTAGTCGTAGGCTTCCATTTCAAACGAGCTATCCAACAG